ATGATGCCGTCTAGTCTATCAGAACCTGGAACATCTAAATCTAGAAAAAGGTCAATCAACAAGGAAAATTGGACAGTTAATAAAAGAAAGTTATTGCGTAATAGTGGAAAAGGTTATGTAACTAAAATGGGAGTGGAGAAAAATACCAAAATCTTCGAAAATATTGACTGTGGATGTCCTAAAAAATGTTATACGCTTTTTACAGAAAATGAAAGGCAAGAAATGTTCGAATCATTTTGGAATTTAAAGGACTTTAATCAGCAAAATGCCTTTCTATATGCATTAGTGCAAAAAGCATCTGTTAATAGAAAACGACCTAAAGATCTGTCACGAGCAGGAAAAAACGTTTCGTTTAAGTATTTTCTCAAATCTCATATTATGACACAACTGGTATGTAAAAAATATTTTTTGAAAACATTCCAAATCAGTGATGGAAGATTATATCGCTGTCTATCAAAAGGCGATGTCTCGCAATGTAAAGATAAACGAGGCACGACTAGTACTCAAAAATTAGATGATTCTGACATTATTACTCATATACAAAGCTTTCCCGCGTACCAAAGCCATTACACAAGAAAAAGTAATCCTAACCGGAAGTTTTTAAATCCTGGGCTAACTATTCGAAAGATGTACGATCTATATAAAGAAAAATGTTTGACTGAAATGACAGAACCTAAAAATTTAAAATATTATAATAAAGTTTTCAACACCAAGTTTAATCTACATTTCAAGGCACCGCACCAGGATACATGTAAGACTTGCGATAGCTTGAATTTTAAAATTAGAGGCACCGATGACGAGAACGTGAAGAAAGAGTTTGAAGTTCAAAAGGAACTTCATCAAAGAAAGGCAGATTCGGCAAGAGAAAATCTACAAATTGATGCTAAAAAGATTAATGACGCATATGTACTAACCTTTGATTTGCAGAAAGCTTTAGCTTTCCCAAAATTAACTACTTCGGTAGCATACTATAAAAGGAATCTGTATTTGTATAATTTGGGAATACATTGTTTTAATAACAACACGGGGTACATGAACGTCTGGAATGAGATAGAAGGAGGGCGAGGGTCTCAAGACATTGCAGTCTGTCTCGTGAAACATTTAAAAACTCACACGGTAACACAAAATCACGTCATCATGTATTCCGATTCTTGCACTGGACAAAATCGAAACATTAAGACTACCCTTTCCCTTTTAAAGCTCGTACAAGACCCGGATACTAGTATAACCACCATAGACCACAAGTTTTTAGTGTCCGGGCATTCTTATTTGCCTAATGATGGGGAATTTGGGATAATTGAGAGCGCAAGTCGCCGTCATGGACAAATTTATAGCCCGGATCAATGGATTGAGATCATGAAAACAGCCAAACGCAAAGAACCACATTTTGTTGTAACGGAAATAAAAAATTCCGAATTTAAAAGCACTGCGGCATTAGAAAAATGTATTACCAACAGAAAAAAAACAACCTGTGGTTACGACTTCAACTGGCTGAACAACTGGCTGTTTGAGAGGAATCATCCTTTACAATTTCAATTTAAAGAAACGCTCAACGCTGACATGCCCTTCTACAAAGTAGATCTATCAAAAAAGCAACAAGGACGACCAGCTTACTTGTACAATATTCAACAAGGCCCACTCTATCCTTCAGGAAGACCAGTCACTATTGCTAAGAAGAAGGATATGCTTGATCTTCTCCCATACATTCCACCAATTTACCATAAATTTTACAAAAATCTTACTGTAGACATTCCAACACGGTCAAGCATTCTTAATGCTGATGAACGTTCGTCTGATGACGAAATAACCTACGATTAACCACTTAACGAAATCACAATAAGTATAACTCGTCACTTTAACAGTGAAGTAAGTCCACAAAAAAAAATTATAATTTGTTTCATTAAAATAACTTCGTCTTATTTTTAAGTAACTATATACTATTATAATATTTCATTTGTTAACTACAATAAAAAATATAAAGCATTGAATAAAAATTTGTAGTTTTTTTTCTACGCGTTAATTAACAAAACTCTTAATTTCTCAAAACTTCATTGCATGGAGATAATTCACTATTACAATGAACGACACAAATATTACTAAGGCTTATTAATAAGGCTTACTAAGAACTGTTTCTACCACAGTTAAGTAATAGTTAAGGGTGAAAGCGTGACAGGTGGTGATAGTATTTCTGATCCATACTTATAATCACGCCTGTGACCCTTACGGGGTAGGCAGATCATCAACGGATTACTTAATATCGTCTGCGAGGCTATCGCCTATTCTGTGAATTACAATGCACCAAAACGTTTGAAGAAAATCAGCTGGTGGATTTTATGTTTTTTATCGCTCTCTTCCCGGTCCTGCGTGGAAAAATACAGATCCATACATTTTTTATCTTAATTTTGGTAAAAAGTGATAATAATCGATTAAATATATATTCTGACCTTCTGTGTTCGTCCATCGTACCGTCGTCCGTCTTGTAGAATCACGGTGGCGCCACCTAGCTAAATTTAATTTTGCAACATGTTCGATTTTCCCACGGAGGAATGATATGTTTTTCCGCTGAAAAAAGTAGCCATGTCACTCTACAGCCATCGAACTATCACCATACCAAAATTCATGCCATGCCGACGCTCTGTTGCGACATGAAAGAAGGACAAACTTTTGCAACATACTCTATTTTCCCACGGGAATGAGATGTTTTTCCGCGGAAAAAGTAACCTGTGTCACTCTACAGCCACCGAACTATCCCCATACAAAAAAAAATCATGCCATGCCGACGCTCTGTTGCGACGTGAAAGAAGGACAAACAAACAAACACACTTTCGCATTTATAATATTAGTAATTAGTATGGATTGACTTTGTGTGTGTGTGTGTGTGTGTGTGTGTGTAACGAGTTTTTAAGTTTATTTGTATTATTTTTAGTGTGATATCGACACTACTTGACTCTTGCGTCAACTTAGGCGTGTGTTTTTTTTACAAAATGCCAAGACAACAGCATTTTTACAGTACGGTAGAGTATACAGACGTGATTTTATTGTATGGCGAATGCGGCCAAAATTCATCGTTAACTCTTCATACTTATCGTGAGAGATACGACGCGTCAAATAATGTGCAATAATATTTATTTCGTTCAGTTTCGTTATCGCGAAAAAAAAGTGGCGGTAAAAATAAACAGTTTAGTGAAAAGTTTAGACCGCTGCCTGCCTGCGCCTCTTCCAAGGGGTCAACATACGTTTTGTAAACAGTGTTCACTTTTACTGAATTTATTTAGATTTTTCTTTTGTTTGAAAATTTCAATTTTTTAATTTATGGTTTTTAAAATTAATGTTTAATTTTACTACACTTCTACGGACTGGTATTACTTGTGATTTCATTTATTGCATATATTTGCTTTCCTTACTATATATATACACAACATGTAACATAATTAACGCACTTTGAGAAAGTAGTTTGTTCAGAATCGTTTACTGAATCGATTCCTATCATTTTTAATATAGGTAATTTTTTATCCCAAAAATAATTAAAACTACGTAAATTACAGTCACACTAACTCTGTACAGTCAAAACAAACTGAAATGGACCGTAACTTAAGGCAATAAGACTTTTAAGAGTGCAGTTTTATTTGTATTATTACTAATTCTGTTATTCAATAAAAATAAAGAAAAATGAACTTTATTTCAAGCACGTTAAAGTCTTTGCGTTCGTGGATTTGTACTGTGACCACAACATTTTTCCGGAATTAGTATAACTAATTTGATAAATAATCAGTGCATAAAAATGTTTAACTAAAAATTCAGTGTATGTATTATATAGTGCTCAAGTCTTCCAGCGATTCTGCCATAAGGACTATATCGTCAGTATATTCTAAATTCCCATTTTAAAATTTTAATCAATTCAAAGGTGTCAGATGTAGCGCGCCGATGGATGCGTGGCTGGAGGGGCTCATCATCAGTCATTAATCTGGGTCGAGCCATAAGCTGGAGGACATGCCTGCCAAACCACCATTAGAAACGAACAAGGGAAAGGACATGAAAATTTTACTAGGCCTTACAAGCTTAGTGGGTCAGCATGAAAGACATAGGAGCCGAATAGACCCTCTGTCTCTGCCGAAAGCCCTGGACCGTCCTGAGGAGGAGTCTCTCAAAGGCCAGCCCAGGAGATCATGGCTTATTCTATTCTATTCTGCTCCTGATGAGCGATAATATGACAAATGAAAGATGTAAAATCTATTCAGAAAACATATGTATTTCTAATTTTTTTATCATTTGAAAATCTTGCCATTCGATTTTACGAATATAATTAACTGCATGCAGCACTGCGCAGATACATTGATATATAATAAAGTTTTAGCACACATATACAATTGTACATTTCAGCGACATATCTGAACCAAAAATTGTAAACTATAAATCAAAATATACAAATGAACACAACTAAGTTATTAAAATATCTGCCATAAACCTAAAAAATATTTTATTGTGCTTTGTAAAACTGTAGGCTAAACCACTGTGAATGTGTTAAATAAAAATTAAATTTTAGGTAATCGGAGTACCGAATATGCAAGACATAAAAGCCTTTTAACTACTAAAATGTCAATAAAATTAGCTTAGTTTCTATAATTAAAATAATAGGTATATATTCGTAATCAAGAAACAACAGTTTACAGGTTTAAGTGGTTATGGTATGTATCACAACAGAAAATACATGCTTACAATGTAAAATCAACAAGGTCCGAAAATGAAGGTCAATCATAATTACAAAATACCGCTAACATAAAAAAATAGTAAATACAATCGAGCAGTGGATAAACTATAATCAATATAAACTCTCTTGATATATATAACAAAATCACAATTTAACACCGACCATTTACTTCACAGTATGCATTATACCGTTATTTTGTTGTACAATATGATGTCACAACACAAAGCGAAATACATAATATATTAATATGGTGTAATCTTGGTCCGAAACGTCCATAGTGTTTATGCAGCTCTCAGTCATCGCTAATCCGCCTCTTTTTTGATTTTTTCTTTTCCATCGCTTCCATTCGCATGTCTTCCAAGTCTTCCATGATACCTGAATTAAAATATAAATTTACTATAAATAATACAATAATTAAACGGATTCAACATTTTCGAGATCATCTTCAATTCTACATTTTCGATAGATTTCACGTAGCAGCTGCAGCTAGATTATGGTTGTAGTATGAATGGGTTGGCTCAACCGGGGAATCTCACAGAACACTAGCGTAAGATAACAGCTTAATACTATTGTGTTTCACCTGGTGATTGTAGAGAACCGGAGACCCTTTTTAGTGAAAATGAGGCATTCCATCAGAGTCCTCACGGGTAACACCTAACAACGCATTTGCGTTTTGATTATTTATAGAATATAAATGACTGCGTGTTGTGCTCACTTATCCCCCTTATTCCTATTTAAAAAAATTTACCACAAACACACACACACACACACACACACACACACACACACACACTCACACACACACACACACACACTCGCACACACTCGCACACACACACACTCACACACACACACACATCACACACACACAAACAGACACACACACACACACTCACACACTCACACTCACACACTCACTCACACACGCAAAAACAGACATTTAAGATACATATATAGCAATATGTGTATACCAATATAATGTAGATATATATTATACATACCAATTTTCTTGCTGATGTATTCTTCCCGTTGTTGACGTGCAAAACTTGATTCCATCATTGGGTCATCATCGTCATCAATGTCTCGATATCTAGTTAAAAGACACATAATTTGAAAATAAATAAATAAAAGCACACTACAAAAAAATCGGCATTGAAAAGAAAATAATATTCTCAGTATCGTTTGTAACAAATATGTTAGTTTTTTTTTAAATATATTTTTGAATATATATATATATATATATATATATATATATATATATATATATATATATATATATATATATTACTGAAAAATAATGAACAACATTAAAAAAATTTAACAATTAATTTTTTTACCGAAAGTATTCAATCAACAAAAAAATTCTTTTTTCTTTTTATGCAAAAATACATATCTACGCAAGAGATTGGGCGAAAAATATTGCAATAAAATAAACTTTGTAATCACTACGTCAACTACATTTGTACTGTCAATGCTCCTAAACAAATTAAGTTATTGAGATAAAATCCCTTAAGTAAATTTATATAACTCCATAATTTTATATGTTATAAACGACTTTTATATTAATGATAACAAAACATAAACATACTTTGACTTATCGTAACCAAATATCTCCTTAATGTGCGTGGAATAATCAATATTTTCATCACCGTCATCGATGAAGTCATCCATTTCAGAATCATAGTCCGACTCAGAATCCACTGTGCGGCCTGAAAATACAATAATCATCAGTAAACAAGCAAATCATTATTCAAAAACAAATTATGACTAACTACAGCTTACCAGGTGGTTGTTAATATATAATTGTATAAGTGTTTGAAAGTTTCATTACTGTGTAATGGCAGTGTAAGAATATACCACTAACACATATCATCCTGTGGGTGTCAAAGAAGCGATAGAGGGAAACAAATAAATCATGGGATGGGCAGCAGCGTCTTCCTAATAATGACTTAAAATAAAAATACTGCGGTTGCCAAGCCGCTTGCCAAGTATGGCAACTATGGTAAATATCCCCCATGAGGCAATCTATGGGGAGACCTATCTTCAGCAGTGGACTTTAATAGGCTGTAACGGTATGAAAGTTTCATACGTATTTGGAAACAAAAGTAGCTTATTAACTTTGATAATTGCATTCACTTTGCTAAAGTTCAATTTTGTTATTGCATGCAATTCAAAAGATTTTACATAAGAATATATTCTCAAACTCTATTAAGATATACCTTTGGATTAAGTCAAAAATAAAAGACTGACTTCTTAGAGAAACCAATATGGTATTTGTTAGTGTTATACTTACGTTTTTTTCTTTTCAAATCATCAGGATGAGGTTTCCTCCGAACATTACCAGGTGGAAACTGACGCGCTCCAATCGAATTAACATGCTTATCAAAGTCAAAGCTGTTTGCCATTTTCGGTTTGCTGGCACCTGCAAGAGATTTGCTAGTTGATATTGGTTTCTTGTCCTCAGATCTTTTTGATGGCATTTCTCTGCTACTTTCCTGCACTCGTTTAGCACCATCAGGCCTAACATGTCCGTTGTTTTTCAGTGATCCCTCACCAAATAAAGTTTTTTGTTTTGACTGCAGAACTTTGTCTTTGTCGTCATTCTTATGTAGCAGTTCTTTATTTGACTTTGGCACTGGTTTTCCGTGGATACTATGGCCATTTATGTGCCTTGTATCACCGCTTTTACTAGGTATAGAGATCTTTTTTCTCCGTTATATTTTTATCTATCCGATAGGTATTTTGACTCTTTAAGTCTATGCTCTTTTTTAACTCGTGTTTAACCGGTTGCTCTCTAGCATTTAATTTTGACCTATCTACTGTGCTATTTGCAGGTTTGTTTACTCTCTCTGTTTTAGCTTCGAGTTTAGATTTTGTTTTTTCTAGTCTATCCCTGTCTCTATTAAGTCGGTCTATATCTCTGTCAATTCTTTCTCTCTCAGCTTTTAATTTTTCTAACCTTTCCCTATCTAACCTTTCTTTTTCTTGTTCTGCTTTATTCCTCTCCAACTTTATTCTCTCTTTTTCTCTTTGAAGCTTTTCTGCCATTAATGCATCTTTCTTTTCTCTATCACTAATGACTTGATGAATTTCTTTTTCCTTGTCACTTATGGATTTTTCTTTTTCCTTATCAGACGTTTTTATACTGTTATTTTTGTGATTTCCAGAGTTTTTATCTCCGAGCTTGGGTATACGACCAATACTACTAGGTTCTTGTCTCTTTTCCCTTTCTACAGGCTTGTCATCCTTTGGAACTAAAAGAGTAATAACAAATAAATTATAAAAACGTCATATAAAAATTTAATCTGAACCTAAGGTATAAATAGTAGAAGTAGAGAAAGACAACCTACAAGTATAACTTAAATAACTTTTACATCACCTACATCATTTAAATTACACCCTGCAACTATTGCATATATTTTTTATTATTCTTTACTCTCACTTTACTTTAAGTTCTTTTTTTTTACTGACAAGTGCATTGCTAAACACGCCAACTGTCTTTGTTGTATATGTTAATTTTTCGTGCATATTTTCCCTTTTTCTCCCTGATACCCAGATAGGGGAGGAAGGGGAGAGTTGGGCAGTTGGGAGACATTGGCACCCCGTCACAATTTTTTTTATATTGGCGGTTTATTTTACTCACTGGCAAAACTGTTCATTTTTTATAGAAGAGGGGGCAAACGAGCATGCAGCTAACCTGATGGTAAGTGACCTACCGCCACCCATGAACAACCGCAACACCAAGGAATTTCAGGTGCGTTGCCTGCCTTTTAGAAAGGAGTAAGCTCTTTTCTTGAAGGTCCCTAAGTCGTATCGGTCCGGAAAAGTCGCCGGTGGCAATCAATTCCACAGACAAGTTGTACGAAGAAGAAAACTCCAAGTAAAACACATAATGATGGACCGCCAAGCATGCAGATGGTGAGGTATGTATCGTGACCCGATGTGCGTTCGTGAAATTTTGGCGGCTGGAACTAATCCGGAATATTCCTCAAAACACTCCCCATGGTAGATACGACAGAAAACGCAAAGGGATGCAACATCCCTACGCAGCACCAGTGAATCGAGCCGATCAAAAAGAACTCGGTCGTCGACGATTCGAATCGCTCTGTGCTGGATGCGGTTAAGTGTAAAGAGCTGGCACTAGGATGCCCGTCCAATTAATGAGAACAGTATTCCATGTGAATGGCCGAACTTGCGCTTTGTAAAGTTGCAAGCGACGTGCCGGCATGAAATACTGTCTCACTCTGCTGAGCACGCCAAGCTTTTTAGAGGCCAATTTAGCCTTCCCCTCCAAGTGACCACGAAACTTGAAATACCGAGAAAAAACTTGCAAAAATATATCTTAAACGAGAATATGTAAAGAATTCTTTTATCCAGGTTTATATCTGCACAAATTTTCGGTTTATATTGTCACATGGGTGTTTTAAACATCATGCCCAAATCTCTCACAAGGGGTGCCCGAACCTCACTACCATGGGGAGGTTTGGGTACAATTGACATATTTCTGAAAATATTTAGTAATTTTGAGACTGATTATAATTTGTAGACTGTTCTTTGTAAAACATCTTGCCAAATGTATGGTGCAATTGAACTTGGCAATAAATATTGGATATATTAAAAATGTGCCTTTTTATTACCTTACCTTAACGTATGTGAACAAGTGCCCATTCCTCCCCTACCTCCCTTACAGCCTATTTTCTAAATGGAAACATTTTGAATATAAACTTACGTTTTCGGTTCCCACTTTTTTCAGCTTCAATACGCTCCTGTCTACGTTGACGTCGAGCCATTTCTTCTTCGTACTCCCTCTTTTGTTTCTTAGTCATAAGACGGTCAGGTTCTGGTTCTGTCACTTGCTTTTTGACAACAATGTCTACTGGTTCACTCTTCTTCTTTTCAGCAAGTTTTAACAGCTGGTTGAAGTCCATTGGAGGTGGAGCAGGTTTTCTTATTTTGGGTTTTTCGGACTTTTCTTCCCTTTTCTTTTCTGGCTCATATTTTGGTGGTGGACTTAGTTCTTTCTCTAGAATATATATTAATGGTTAGTGTTTAATTTATAATACTAAGGGAGGACAATAAAAACAGTGGAGGGATGGTGGGGGTTTTAAGGTGTCATGATTGTTTTCTGCAATCTCTATAAAGCTTTTAACTGTGAACACCACAATACATCCATTCACAAACTGAAGCGCGCGATGGAGGCTACGGCCAAATACGAGTTTCTTCACAAAAATACAAATCAATTCATGATGTTGGTAAACACATGACAATAGTATAATATAATTTTAGTTAATGAACACAGGGTAGTACATACCCAGATAGATTCCTAAAAAAAGAGTTCTACCACTTAATAAAAACAAACTTATGTTCCGAGTGTCTAAGATAGAATCAAAAATGATATAAGTACATACCATCAATATAATATATATATATTGTATGTACAATTTTATTGATATCAAACATATCCTCTCGGCTGTCCAAAACCTTCTAAAGGTCGCTATTAAAAAGGATCGCGTCCTGTCCACAACCTTTTGGAAGGTTGCAATTTACTTATAAACTTCAGACACGAAACAGCCGTAGTAAATGTATCTGTATCTCCTTCTAACTCGTACAACATTGTTTTAATATCATTAACCTACTTATCTCGGTATGGAATTGTCGCTATTGAAGTACATAATGTGCCTGTTTCGGGTCATCTTAAGTGGCCCACATTATTGTCGAGCTTGCAGTGTAAAAAAAAATGTATGCAGAGTTGTTTTTTTTTTTGAATTAATTATTGTAAAGTGTATTTATCTTATTGTAAATAAAATAAATATTTATTGAAGTAATTGTTTTTTTTTTTACAATTTTTTATTCGCCAAACTGGAAAAAAAATCGCTTTTAGCATTTTTACCATGGAATTTAGAAAATATAAAAAAGGTGAATGTACACATTTACACATATTCTATTAGCTTACTTAACAATAATTCTAACAACATATTATTTTATAGTTTCCATACATAATTGTTAAGATATTCCCATTTTAATGACATGCGCCATGTAGGCAATAAATCACTCGTTTAGGGTTGGACAGTATGCGCCAAAGCGACCATTTGGGCCGGGACAGTTGAGAGGATAAACAAAAATCTTTAATGTAATAACTAAAAAAAATTATTGAAAAATACATACCATTATTGTCACCTTTACGTCTTCTTTTGTGTGGCACTGGCTCATCTTCATGTTGCAAAGCATTTTTGACTCTCTCCCTTGTACCATTGAGATCTTTACTTACTGAATTATCTGTAACCACAATTATATCAACTAGTACGAGGGTGACACTGAAAGTTTTTAGAACTGGCCACTTGTAAACTATATAATAAAAAATAAGTTCAAATTTTGATAATGGAACTTGGACAGTTGTTTGCGAATTTGAAATGTGAAGAATGTGGGTTAAGAATGGACGAATTAACCCTCAAATGCCTTTTGTATGCAAATGATCAAGCCATATTTACATCGGCGGCCGAGTTGCAAATCATGGTTACATTAATGAACAGGTCATTAAAAGAAATGGGAATAAAAGTGAACATTATGTGAAATAACTAAAGTTGTTCAAAACGACTATAAATCAATAGCACGCTACAGACTATAAACTATAAATTTCTAGTGCGCTATTAAATACGCTATGTTATAGCGTGCTATTTATAAGAAAGCGAGTTAAGTTTTGCAGCACGCTATATTTCGTAGCACGTTACAATACATGTCGATCATTGGATAGACCGCATGCTATATAAGAACATTATTTCATAATAAGTCACATTTTAGACTAAAATAAAGCGGTAAAGAAAAACCAATGAACGCTTTTTCATACTTTTCAGACTTACTTACTTATTTTCTATAATCTTAAAAATATTTTTAAGGCATGTACTTTTTAAAACGAAATAAAATTAATAATTTTTTATTATAATTGATGTAAACGTTATTTTAACCTTAACATAAATTATAAATCATATAACGGTGTATTTAAAAGTGTATTGATTGTATTTATTAAATCAACTATTTAAATACACTATTATATACTTTTGTATCTATATTTTATTTACATTTAAAAACATTAGTTAGGCTTCTTTTATAGCAGACAACTGTGTCCTTCGATCACTTATAAATATACAGTAAACACTAACTAAACAACGTCTAACACTAAATTAGGTCGCGCGCGATGAATAGCATGCTACTAGATCAAATTTGCATCCCATGTCCTCTTTCAACAGCGCTGCTACTAAAACTAGTTGCCGCTAGATATTAATACTTAATAGTGTCAAAGCGTCATAGCGCAATAGCGCCATGGTGACTACTTACATAGCATGCGATATGTGTTATGGAGGGATAGTGCGCTATCTATAATATGGCGCTATGCGCTATATTAACCACCATTAGAAATAACAATAGAAGGGGAGTTGATTAGCAGGGACTGTAGATATGGTAAGGATATAGAATGACGAGTGAATGCAGGAAATGGAGTGAATGGGGCCTCCTACACTCTATTATGAAGAATCAGAATGTGTCAAAAAAAGCACATATGGTAATTCATAATACTGTGTAAATTCCTACTTAAATGTATGGTAGTGAAAGATGGGTGTGACAGAAGAAGCACGAAGTAGATAAAATGCTGTTGAAACGTGGTCTTTAAGGAGTATGCTAGGGCTGAATCTGAATGAGAGGGTGAGAAATTGCATGATAAGAGAAAAATGTGATGTGGTGACAAGGATTAAGGAAGGAATGCTTGGTGGTTTAGTCATGTAGAAAGAATGAGCGAGGGAAGAATGACAAAGCAAATTTATATTGCAGATGTGAAGGGCAAAGTCGGGAAGGGACGCCCTAGAAGAAGGTTCATCAACAAAATTGGCAATATTTAGAAAATGTGCCACATTAGGAGTACCCTTAACCGATGAGCTTGTATGCGTAGATATATGGATGTAAAGGAGGCGAGAGAGGTATGTCAGGATCGCACCAAATGGAAGTCTGTGGTCTCTGCCTACCCCTCTGGGTGACAGGCGTGTTTATATATTATATTTAAATAGATATGTAAATAATATGATAATGTTATTATCAATTTAGTTATTAAACAGCTTCTAAGAGATTTTCAACCGAATATTATTTACTTAACAATAAGAAGTGATATAGCCAATGACACTAAACCAAAAATCGAAGTTATTTTAGGTATTATCTATTCAGGTCAAATAAAAGTAAATTTTTAAAGATTTTGGAAAAACCCTAGAAATATTAACTTAAGTCATTATGATTATTTATTAGTTGGTTTAAGAGACAAACTGATGAAGAGACAGGCTTGATCTAAATCAGCAAATATTACTTTGGAGTTGAAACTTTTTATCACTGACATATGAAACATATTATGTATCATAATATGGGTATGTTCCAAAATAGAACCCAGTGTACTGTACTATGCAAATGACGTCATGTATCGACGCTATACTGGTGATTCGTTCCAAAACATAGGACAGCATATGAAGTCATACATTTACGCCATATTGGAAAAGTATTGGCGATTATTTTGTCATTTTGTCTCCAAAAATCATTATATCCTCCTAATGGAGATACCAGCAATTATTCTATAATATTTTGTACTTTACTTATCTTCACGCACAATCCCTAAAGGGGTAGCCAGAGAGAACAGATCACCAAGTGGCACGATGTTTACATACCTCTTACGCTTCTTTCAGGTTCATTATCTTCTTCATACATGCACATCTAGGTATCCGAGTACTCTTGACCTTCCCCTCTTCGAGTAATTTGCTCACATGGTCTTCGAAAGTTAGTCTCGGTCTACCTCGACACCTTACTTTCGCGCTATATATTTTCTTCGCCATTCGGTCTTCACTCATTCGCTCAACAGTATTCAGTACAACCCTATCAATTTTTGTGATAAGGTCATCTTTCAATCCTGACATATTGCGAATCTCTTCGTTTCGCTTTCGGTCGGCTATGGTAACGCCACACATTTTACGAAGAGATCGCATCTCCACTGCATTCAACTTGCTTTTATGCTTCTTCTGGCATAACCAGGTTTCGCTGCCATATAACAAAGTCGGTACCAACACTGCGTTATGTACTGCAAGGCATGCACTCTTCACTACGCCTTGCCTTTTGACTAACGCATTCAGGGCACCATTGACTTTGTTCCCGGCAGCGACACGCCTGTCCACATCTAAATCACATCTTTCATCCCGGCTGAAAGCAATCCCCAAGTATACAATTTCATTTACCTGTTCTAGACATTCCTGATTTACCCATATTTCACATTTCGTTCTCTCTTCGTCCTTTTCAAATACCAGAACCTTAGTTTTATTAGCATTCAAATGGAGACCTTTAATTTCACATTCCTCTTTCATACACATGACTAGTGCCTGCAGTTCTGCTTCTGATGGTGCAATAAGCACTGCATCATCAGCATACAGCAGACAATTTACTTTAATGTCACCCAATTTTGATGGCTACCTCCAGCACAAATTGCACAGCAGATGAAAGCTGTCCCAGACACGAGGCCCACCGTACTTGACCATTTCAGCAGTAACTCTGTCTAGTCCCGCAGCCTTACCACATTTCAAACTTCGAATCGCACATTCAATATCTTTCATGCTGATGACCTCAGTGTCATCAATGTCTGTGTTTGGCTTGCCAGTCACGGCGTCGCCCCCGGATCCTTCACTAAGATCATAACATGCATACATTTCTCTATAAAATTCGCTCAACGTCATTGGTTTTCGAAAGCACTTTGTTCATTCTTAAGGATGTCGCACCACTCCTGGACCTTCCAACCTCTTTCCAGAAGAGTTTGGAGTTTTCCATAAAGTTGTGCGACAACCTTTCGTCCGCTTCTATTCTACACCTTTCACATACTTCCTCAATCAATGTTTTCAATGAACTTTCTGCAGCTTATATCTTTCTTTCATCTTCTCTCTCATATGCTTATCGTTACTAGAGGCCAAGTATTCTAACCATGCTTTTTTCTTCTTCTTCTCTCACTTCATCATTCCACCATGCATCTCTTCTTTTACTACTATCTCTTTTTGTCGTTCCACATACTTCTTCTGCTGCACTTACCATTCCATCCCTAAGGTTCTGCCATGTTCTTTCCACACATTCTTTTCTGCCATCGATGGTGTCAAGCTTTTTGGGTACCCTCGTGTGATATTTGTCCTTAGTATCCGCTTCCTGAAGCTTCCAGCTTTGGATGCGACAGACCGACTGTGGTTCTGTTACTGGCGTCCGGTAGCCCCAACCCACGAACAAACCCCTAAATCTAGTAATTACTAGAGTGATCCGTTCCCAGGTCAGCACCCTGAACTGAACACTTGTGTATCCATCACCTGTTTTCGCAGTCGGTCATCCACCAGGAACAAATCAATCATACTTCTCTCATTCTTTCTTTCTCTAGTGTACATATGGATTTTCCTGTGATTAAACATAGTGTTTGTCACAAGAAGACCCTTTTCCTTGCATACAGCCAGTATACTGGCTTGCCAGCATCATTAACCCTTTTATCGCCAAACTTTCCAAGCACCGACTCGTACCCTGGTCGAGCGATACCTACCCATCCATTCAAACCACCACATACAATAGTTCTTTCGTTTCCCTTAACCAAATCTAGAACTACTCTTACATTCTCCCAAAACTCCTCCAGCTCAGCCCTGGATGACGAAGCTACCGGCGCATAAACAGCCGAAAGGAATAACTTCGTCAGTCCCAGTTTAAAGCGAATGCAGAGAAGTCTTGAGTTCACAACCTTATATTCAGTCATAAGATCAACCAACCGGGACGACAACAGCACCCCCACTCCCTGGAAGACGTTCTCGCTTTCCGGGACTCCGAACCATATAGCTAACGTCCCGCCAGGGAGCTCTTCAGTACCACTGCCTTTCCGTTTGGTGTCCAACATACACACGACATCTAATTCTCTTTCTTTCATTATTTCGATCAACTCATTCGTCTTATCTCTCATATAATATTTTGTGAATGTGAATAAATAAAAACAAATTCTGGCATGCTTCATTCAGCGCACACACAATTAAAAATTGTTTTATTATGGCTGGATATCCGACATAATATGCAGGCATGCCAGTACAATATAGTATCAATTGATGACGTCATTTGTATTCAGCAGTATACTTAAAATGTTTCGGAACATACCCTATATTAACTAAGGTCAAAATTATCTACTATCGTATTATTTAAGAAATAATGTGAAATTATATACCTTTGTGAAGAGAAAAATAAAATGATTTATTATTATAACTGTTCCTACAAAATGGCTAAAAACAATAATATATTATCATCTTTATTTTTACGACCAAAAACCTACTTTATTACAGTCCTTTCTTAATTTAAAAGCACTAATATAGGTATATGTGTACTGAAGGAATTCTTTTCTAAAATTTACGAAGACTTGTACAAAATGATCCTACTTACTTTTTGTGGGAAATTTTGGTTCATCAGGTATTTTACTATATTTTTGCATCATTTTCTCATAGAGAGCAGAAGCCTCTTGGGATTCGTAACCATAGTCATCTTGGTCAGGTTGATCAGGCCCTTCCCGGGTGACTGCTGTGTTATTTCTATCCACTGCATCTTCTATCACAGACTTATTGGCAGACTTAATTACTTTTAGAGTCTTTTGAATCTTCCTCAAAGCCTTCGGATCGCGCATAGCAATTAATTCTTCACGTTTTCTTTGAGCCTCTAACTTTTTTTGCCTTTCTTCCTCTTCTTTTTTTGCCAAAAACTTTTGTATATTTGCTGAAAGTCTGTCTTTTACCTTTTGCTCCTTTTTAGGAGGATCGAAACGAGCTTTATAGTAACAATTTTCCTGTAAAAGCAATGGTAATTAGATATTAAGTTAACTGATGATAATAACTTTTATGCAGTGGAAACTTATGCAAAATGCAAAATGAAAACCAAACTCACAGATGACTTTTGTTGTTGATTTCGTTGGGCAGCTAGTAACGTTTCTCGGAATTCCATTTTGATTGATTCTGTTTTTCATTAAAAATTATCTACTTATGAGTAATACAAAAGCATGGCAAACTTTTCTTACATAAATTATTTACGATTTTAGCGAAATACGTGTCAGACCTTAACATACAATCCCACCATTTTCTGGAAACGTACTGAACACAGACTAACTAGTGTGGTACTGAACACAGATTATTGATAAATAACTTATTTTCAGGTATACAAAAAGTACTCTGTGTAACTTATCGAGTACCTATAGTCTCTGACTAGTGTATAGTTATCTGTGCTATAGTCAACCAAATCTACTAGAAATACCTTTTGACGTTTCACATTAATCATTCAGCAATAACTTTGCACAAGCGTACTCACACGATTTAAAATAACCTTTTACATAAATCCGAAGAATTATAAAGTTATCTATATTTCTTTACAACGTGTATAACTTTTAACCTTAAAAACGGCAGAGCCCCAGGCGAGGATGGAATTACAGCGGAGCTTCTGAAAGCGGGTTGTACACCGGTACTTGAAGTCCTTCGGAAGCTCTTCAATTCCGTCCTCCATGGTGGCACTACTCCAGAGGCGTGGAGCAGAAGTGCGGTGGTCTTGTTCTTTAAGAAAGGCGACAACGCTCTCTTGAAGAACTACAGACCGATTTCCCTTCTGAGCCGCGTCTACGTGCTGTTTTCGAGAGTCATTACGAATCGTCTCGCACGCAGACTCGACGACTTCCAGCCTCCCGAACAAGCCGAAAGGCTTTCCGAAAAGGCTTCAGTACCATAGACCACATACATACCCTGCGGCAGATTGTACAGAAGACTGAAGAGTACAATCTGCCACTTTGCCTGGCGTATATGGACTATGAGAAAGCCTTTGATTCCGTCGAAATTTGGGAAGGGCTACAGTCCCTTCAGCGGTGCTAAGTTGACTGTCGGTATATCGAAGTGCTGAAGTGTTTGTACAGTAGGGCTACGATGGCTATCCGAGTACAGAACCAGAGCTCGAAACCTATCCAACTGCAGAGAGGTGTAAGACAGGGTGACGTTATTTCCCCGAAACTCTTCACCGCTGCATTGGAAGACGTTTTCAAGCTACTGGACTGGAAAGGATACGGTATTAACATCAATTGCGAGTACATCACTCACCTTCGATTTGCCGACGATATAGTCCTTATGGCAGAATCGCTGGAGGACTTAAGCACTATGCTCAATGACCTCAATAGTGCCTCCCAACGGATAGGTCTTAAGATGAACATGGACAAAACCAAGATCATGTTTAATGTCCATGTCACACCTATGCCGGTAGTTGTTGGGAGCACTATGCTCGAAGTTGTTGACGAACAGTACGTTTACCTGGGACAAATAGTCCGACTAGGTAAGTCCAACTTCGACCGAGAGGTCAATCGACGGATTCAACTCGGCTGGGCAGCGTTCGGGAAATTACGACATATCTTCTCGTCAGGTATACCTCAATCTCTAAAATCTAGATTGTACAACCAGTGCGTGTTGCCAGTGATGACTTACGGATCAGAGACGTGGTCCTTCACTGCTGGCTGTATGAGGACGTTCAAGGTTGCTTAGCGAGCTATGGAGAGGGCTATGCTCGGAGTTTCCAGAGAGATACGTAGTAAAACCAGAGTGACCGACATAGCCTAACGGATTAGTAAGCTGAAGTGGCAAGGATGGGCCGGCCATATGGCCCGAAAAACCGATAACCGATGGGGAAGAAAGGTTCTCGAGTGGCAGCCTCGTACCGGTAGGCGTAGTGTAGGGCGACCCCCCACTAGATGGAGTGACGACCTGGTAAGATATGCAGGAAGTCGATGGATGCAGGTGGCTCAGGACCGTGCTTTGTGGCAATACTTGGGGGAGGCCTATGTTCAGCAGTGGACTTGTGAAGGGCTGTAATGATGATGAATGATGATGATGTATAGCTTTTTATCACTAATTTAAATTTGAGTCTTACAAACCAAGCAAAATATTAAAAAAATAACCAGTATCAACATTTTTTACTTGACGTCGTTTCAATGATATGTCGCTATGTACATAACCGTAGTGTTTGGATGATTAAAATTCATTGTTATGCGAATAATCGGCAAAAATATTCAAATAATCGGTAAAAATATTCAAATAATCGAATAATTTAATTTTTATTTTTAAAATCCTTAAATTACATGAATCATGAATAAAACAAGTTTTTTTTTTAATTTGTCAAGGTAAATTTGTGTAGGAAAAAACTCATATACAAGGATGTGTTAATATCATATCAAGAGTTTAAGTAATTTTGTGTTTGTCTTCTTATTTTGTACTCGCTTAACTTTTTGGACTGTTTCTTCTATATTCGTTGAAGCATGTGCCCATGTCAAAAACAATAATTGGGCAAAAGTGGTTGAAAAAAGAGAAAAGAAAGACATTAATTTTGACTGCGTTATTGAAAATAAAATAATAATTAATCTAAACAACGAAAGTGATTAAATACATTTATTTTAAATCTAATTTCAATCAAAATTTTTTATAATTGTGCCTCTAGAAATAAGCAGTTACAACAAATACGAAGAAACTGATAACTCTTGTATTTCAAATTACCCGTTTTTAATTTATGCTGGTATTATTCAAACCAAACTATAAATGATTACTAACTCTAAATAATCGATATCAATTTTTTTAATAATCTAATATTGTACGTTCCCATTTTTTGGTTGGCATGCTTGGTGCAATAAGTCTGACAGCTGTCGAAATGTATTTCTCAGATTTTCAGCTTTGGTAAATAAATTTAACAATATTTTGCATAATATAAATTGATTTCTTTATACAAGGCCGTAGCCCTAAAATAATTTCGGGGGGGGGGATTGAAATGGTGTTACTTATCATATATATTTATATATATACCTAGGTACTTTAGTACTCTTTTTAAAGAGTACTAAAGTACCTAGGTACTACGTTTATTATTAGCTTGTGTCGAGTACCATCGAGTACACTCTTACGTATGGTTATTACGTAGACAGAGAAACCTATAGACTTATGATTAGCGTGGCCTATAGTGAGAAGGGACTATTACTGACTACTGACTATTATATTTATAACTTTTAAACATATTTAGATAACATTTTTAATTGTTCTAAGAACTGAACTGAACAAGATTCACCAATCTTAAGCTCACAAAACACTTTTTTCTCACTTAAACCAACTTGCTCATTTCTATGCAAGTCGTATGCATAAATCTATCTTTTTCGTGTGCGAATGCGAAAGAAGGCGTCAATTTGTCTATAGGTTTCTCTGTCTACGGGTTATTATTATATAACAGATAAAGAAAGACAAACTTATTCTATGGACTAGTGATGAGACGTATTTACGCAACAGGGTTTAAAACCAGGTTTTAACTTCAAAGTACGGCGCCCTGGTACGAGCAAAAACAAGTATTTGTGTAAGTCAGATGCTCGAAGAACTTGAACATGAACATGCTTGTATAAGAAAATGATCCATATCTTAATAGAAATAAGAAACCCAATCGTATTTGTGAATAAAAAATACTTTGAACTTCAAAGAATTTTTTTTATTTATACGACTTTGCTCCTTATTCTTAGTAGGATAATATGGAATATGGGGACACGTCGCGTCGCTCGCGTTGCAAGCAGCGCGGGGCTCGCTCAAAGCGTTCGCGGTGGGGACGCACGGGTAGTGGGTTGTCGAGCCCAAATATTTCCAATGAACGCCGAATGCTTGAACCGAAATCTGCATAGGTACTTAATGCATATGCCATCCAATCTGTTCGGGAACTTGTCAATCAAATTATCAAATAGGCTAACTTAAAGGAACTAATTCACCCTTATACATATCTATATTTAAAAGAAACATTATTGCGTGTATTTTACTTATTTGTAAGTAATAACAGTTATGTTTATATTTGAGGAAGATTTTTAAAAATTCAGTTGTAATTGTGAACTGATTACGTAACCAACTGGCCGTAACGTAATCCATACTAATATTATAAACGCGAAAGTGTGTTTGTTTGTTTGTTTGTCCTTCTTTCACGTCGCAACAGAGCGTCGGCATGGCATGAATTTTGGTAGGGGATAGTTCGGTGGCTGTAGAGTGACATAGGCTACTTTTTTCAGTGGAAAAACATATAATTCCCGTGGGAAAATCGAATATGTTGCAAAATTAAATTCAGCTAGGTGGCGCCACCGTGATTCCACAAGACGGACGACGGTACGATGGACGAACACAGAAGGTCAGAATATCTGGATTATTATGTCTTTTTACCAAAATTAAGATAAAAAATGTATGGATCCGTATTTTTCCACGCAGGACCGGGAAGAGAGCGATAAAAAACATAAAATTCACCAGCTGATTTTCTTCAAACGTTTTGGTGCATTGTAATTCACCGAATAGGCGATAACCTCGCAGACGATATTAAGTAATCCGTTGATGCTCTGCCTACCCGCAAGGGTTACAGGCGTGATTATAAGTATGGATCAGAAATACTATCACCACCTGTCACGCTTTCATCCTTAACTATTACTTAACTGTGGTAGAAAATGTTCTTAGTAAGCCTTATTAATGTTACGCGCCTAAGTCGACGGCACTAGCGCCATCTAGTGTCAGAGACGAGAGCGAGGGGAGCTTTCCAGAAAATGACATCACTAATCTTTCAACCGACAGCGCCATCTAGTCCCGAACCGAAGAACTAAAGTTCTAGAAGTTGAAACTCGAACTCTCGGTACCTTGCGCGTGTTTACTTCAATATTCTGGATATTTCGGTGCTAATTTATATTTATAGGCGCTGCAAGATGCGATCGGTGAAGTATTGAAGTTGGCGAGACAAGCGAAGCTTCGGAGCGGAATAAAGTGAATCAGTGTGATAATAGTTTAACTTTAATTAGTGTAAAGTGAATTAAAGTGTTAATTTAGGTAATTCTATCGGCAATTTTTATTGTCACGAACCTCAAGCTCGTAACATTAATAAGCCTTAGTAATATTTATTGAACGGAAATGAATACAGTTCTTATATGT